TACTCACATACAAGTCAGAGTGAATACATTTTGTTCAAGGATTAAAGATATTGTAGTTTATGTCAAATCCTAAGGTATGGTGAGCCAAGTTTTAAAATTTGGTCAGTCACCAATGAAAAAGTGACCTTTGTAGCTAAAAATGAAATAAAATGTTCAGCTTTAGAAAGATTTTTTTAAAAAAAAAGTTTGAAAAGCTTAAACACAGTGCAAAACCCAAGCTAGCATCACCTAGTAAAACATTATTATTAAAGAGCTTCCTAATATCAATTTTATGCTTCATGGTCTGATTTAGTCAACTTAAAAGACAGAGCTTGATTTAGTTTCTTTTCTAAACTATCAGTTCTGGTAAACATTCTAACTTCAACATCTTACCTTTAAGCAAAGTTAGGTTCTACTTATCCTAATCCATGTGTAAAGATCTCCAGAAGTAGCAAGCTGGTACCAATTTAAATGAGTTTAAACGCAAGGCCAGAAACACTGCTACTATGATTACACACCAGCTACAGGCATCAGAAAAGCACAGGTCTAACACTCAACAAAGGCTACTCATTCTAGGAATGAGTTGTTATAGGAACTGCAAGTACAGGTCATGGGAGGAGATGATGGCTTTCAACATATTCCAGTTTAGGGTAGCTGCTGTCCAGACTGTGCTGAGCAGGAGTCTGCGGTTGGCATTAGTGCTCAGGGGAAGAGTGAGGCCATGATTTCAAAGCCTTGACTGCTTCAAATAGGTAAGAGGACTGTTGTCAGTTTTATGCATGGCAAGAAGCACATCAATGTGTGTTGGGCTCCTGCAAGCTGCTATCTCCACTGGCTGTGTAGCTCCTTTATCCCTCTCTGTGAAAATCCCCTTTAAGTACCCCACTTCTAGAAAGCAGGAAATCCTGCCCTCACAGGACTGAGGTGACTGACAGAAATACAAAATTGTGTTTTGTTTTCTGGGAGTTTTTGTTTTGCTTGAGACAGATGGAGCCTAGGTTAGCCTGGAACTCAGTATGTAGCTGAGCGTGGCCTAGAACTCCTGATCCTTTGCTTCGGTCTCTCAAGAGCTAGGTTCTAAATTGGGTTTCTTACTTGCAAAGAACAGACTTTGTACTTAACTTAAGCCAAAAGGAATTTATTAGAGTACGTTCAGAGATCAGTAGGAAGACTAGAGAAGCAGGCACAGTCAGGAAACAAGGAAGGTATGTGGAATCCAGGTCCAGCTCCAAGAATAATCTGAGTTACTTTCAAAATTCAAAATTCTAGAGGACCAGACAGATGCCTCAGCTGGTAAATGTGTTTGCCACAAAAACTGAGAACCTGCAATCAATTTGCAGCATCCACACGGTGGAAGAGAAACCAACTTGCACAAGCTGTGATCTCACCTTCCCAAGCACCATGGTGCACATCTCTCCCCAAGTTAAAAATAAATACTCAAAATTCCAGATTGAAGCCTGCTATTAGTAGTACAGGTATTCAGAGAGCAGATTTAAATTCCAGTTACTAGGTAGAGAACTATTTTTCAGAAAATCTTAGATACACTTCTCTCCCCATATCCTTCTCCTTGATCAGCCAAGTCTCACGTACAACAGACTGGTCTGGAACTCAATAAATAGCCAAGGATGACCTTGAACTCCTCCTCAGCTGTTTCTACCTCTGAGATTACAGGTCTGTACATCCACATAGGGTTTATGTAGTGCTGAGGATGGAATTTACAGCTCTGTGGCTCTGTGTAGGCTAAGTAAGCTCTCTATCAACTGAGCTACATTTCTAGATCCATAGATTCCCTTTTTCAAAATGCATCAACAACCACTACTTTCTATATATCACTCTGCAGAGGACACACAAAGGATATCAAGTGTAAGTTCAGTGTAGAAGTTGCAGTTAAATGAGCAGAATGAAATGTCAACTTGGAATATGAGTTTGAAAATGTAGGCAAGACTTCTGAGAAGAAGCAAGCTGCATAAATAGTAAGGGCTAGAATTGAAAGTGGGGATTTTGTTCTAAGCCTAAAAAGAAACTAGAAGGATTCAAGTCAGAAAATGTCATTGGATCCCAAAGAAAATGTAAAAGCAAAAACTAGATTGTTACAAAACAGCCCTGGATCTGAGGAGGTACCACATAACCACAAAATTAAAAGCCAGAGAAAGCAATAACAAGCATCAAGAAGACAGGTTAGATTCATATAAATATGAATTCATTGTAGGGCTTGTTCTTTGCTGAACTTCATATAAATGTGTATTCATTGTACGGCATGTTCACATGCCTCTGTTATTCTAGTTCTCTTAGACAGTGGAGAGGAAATAAAACAAAACCACCATGTCCAGTACAAGATAATGAACATACAAGGTTTGAGAAGGTGATGGATCACTGTACTGCTTCAGAGAGCTCGGCACAACGAGCCTCACACTCAAGAAGAAATGCCTGATCCTACAAGTCTTAGCTTAGGGAGGCTCTTATGCTCTTTCTAGATGGCCAGCTGGAAAAGGCAAAGTCAAGGTGGTATAGATAACGGTAGGTGCCATGTGGTTACAAGGATATCCTGCTTAAAAGATATTTTGAAAATCTGTCTGGTGTTTGAGATCATACACTGCATGCACCTTGTGCAGAGTAGCTGGCCTTCCAGTTACAGGAAGAGAAAATGACATCATCACGGCCCCAGTGGGGGGGGGGGGGGGGGCGGCGGCAGAACTCTCCCTGAGAGCAGAGATTTTAACCTAAACAAAAACATTTCCAGGCAGAATCACAGGTTCCATTGTGCATCAGTTCAATTTCTAATAATTCAAATTTCCAGACAAGTAATTTTAAGCACTAAAAAGCTTTAACAAGAATACCTTAGTTTTAGAAATACCTAATATAGTTTAAACTTTCCCCTGACCTTCTCCTTCTTCCCTAGGGCTGACTTCCCCGGAGGCTTCAAGATAGGTCCTTATCACACCATAACACTGTGCAAGAGGGAAACGGGCTGACGTCCTTCACCTGTCCATTTCACAAACAGGTTTTTAGGTCAGACTATTTCTCTAACACCAAACTCAGCAAAACTTTCCAGATTCTGTCACTTTCTTTAAAAAGTTTTAAATATTTCTAAAATTAATAGTCATTAAATGTAATACATAATTTGTAGGTGTGATTTTGATGCCCTCTCCCTACCTTAAAATACAGAAATTGTGTGCGATGGCACCTACCTGCAACCCCAGCAATATTGAAGTGGAGGTAGAAGCTGGGGCTCAAGGCCATCCTCGCCTACACAGCAAGTTCAAAACCAGCCGGGGCTAAACAAGACCCTGTATCATAAACAAAGTAAAACAAAGTAACAAAGCATACAGAACAAATTCAAGGCAGGTTAAACTAACATTGGGTAGGGTTTTTGTTTGTCTTGTTTTTGAGATTGCGTTTAGGGGCACAAATATTTCTACTACACCTGGAGGCTTAGAAACAGCAACAACTCAAATAAGTAAAGTTCTAGTTTTAAGAAAAATGAAAGATACATCAATATGAAAAACTAATGCCCCAGACAATGGCAAAATAAAGCATCATTCTACATTACATGTGCATTCCCATACCTTTGTTTTGAAACTTTCAAAAAAACTTTAAAGTTTTTTTTTTCCGTTTAAGTTCCCAGAATACCAGAACACTGACACAGTCAGTGGTGCTATTTGGAATATGCCAAAGATGATTCTGAACTTTGTTGAAAGCCACAAAGGAAACCAAGAGTCCTTAATAACTAACCACAGCAATACTTCGGATATCCCCATCAAACAGGAAACACAAAAGGGAAATCAAGGGTTTGACAAGGCTGAAGTGGCTTTAGCAGGACTCATCTAGATTTCAGTCTCTTGACCTTGCCTCTCATCTTTACCCCAGTTCCTTCTGAACACTTCCTTTTCTACAAGGCAAACAGAAAAAAAGATGCATGGCCTTTGGAAAGGGAAAACCCTTTGGGGGCCCTCGCCTCAGTTTTAACATCTGTCAAGCAGAGCCATAGTCTGGGTTCCCTCTTAGTATGATCAAATAATATGCTGTCCCGCACTAAGTGAAAGCCACCATTCCTGGGAGAGTTGCCAACACAACTCAGCTTCGGTTCCTCTCCCGGCAAGGCTGGTTTGACCTACAGTCAACAGGAAGCTTCTGGGGCAGGGACAGGATCCCAGCTTCGGAAAGAGGCCAGACGAGAACGTTTTTGGATCCCGACCAGGGTGTCAGCACCGCCCCGCTGGCTCACGCGGTTGGGCTGAGATTTTACTATCAGTGACAAAGACTGCGCAGACATAAGGCTGAGAAATGAAAAGTCAAACTCTCGCCAAAGAACCTCAACCCCGGCCACCCCCCAAAACAAAGCCCCATGCCCCTCGGCGCTACAGAGAGCCGGGCCGAGCTCCGTCGTGCCCGTCGCGGTAGTCGGCGCGCGGGAGGGCAGGGCGCCGCAGGCCTGTGCCGCTTTCTCCTCACGCCCCCTCAGGAGCCCGCCTGGCCCCCGCCGCCATGTTGGGCTGGCAGGCGTGACACGACCTGGCCTCCCGGCAGCCCGGGAACCCCGCACAGAGACCCGGCGCCGGCGGGGGGCGCGACGGAGCTCGGCCCGGCTCTCTGTAGCGCCGAGGGGCATGGGGCT